ACACGAGGTCTGTCTGGAAAGTATCCAGCCATTGTTTATATAACGAGAACAGTTTGTGCGACATCTATGTAACCTGGCAACCAAGGAGGGTGAACTGGGATGCGGATGGGTTAACAACGATGACTTCACTGTACTAGTCAGTGGGGTGCTAGATGCTGTTGAGCGAGCATGCGTACTGTGTGGCTGTCAAATGAGTGAGTAGAGCAGTGAATCTGCATCAGATCTTGTGTTAAGCTTGAACATTCCTCCGTGGAAACTATTTGGAGGATTCGGTAGGCTTTCGGGGACAATGCAATGAGTGTGGCACAAATAAAAGTGTGGCACAGATGCTTCAAAGATGGTCAAGAATCTTCTGAAAGTGACCCGCATTCTGGAAGGTCTGCAACAAGCAGAACAGCTGAGAATGTTGAATGCATACAAGTTAGGTTAAGAGACGCTGGGAGAACTGTGTGAGTCCCACGGTGTCTACTTTGAAGGGGACTGAGAGTCACTGTCCTAGTACAATGTTTCCTATATCTTGTAACTTCTTCAATGAATGCCTCTATTTTTTGTGTAATCATGGCTGGGTACTTTCTGGACAGCCCTTGTATTATCCACCTTGGAGATCGTCTGGAGTGGCCTAATTCCCGGCCCTAGGAAAACGGAAGATCATGAGCCAGAGTTGAGATTCGTGAGCTATGATCATGCCATGCACGCTAGCCCAGTGGCAAAGCAAGACCCTGTTTCAAAAAAAAAAAAAAAGAAACAAGAAAGAAAGAAAAAAAATAGCTCGGTCAAACTGTTGACATGAGTGCGAGTTTTTCAAACCAAAAGAGCCCAAACTTCGTATGTTTAGTGATCAATCTTTATTTCACTGATAGTAGCAAAAACAATAGTATCTCCTTAACTTGACAATATACTTGAAATCTTACCAAGTCAACATATTAATTTCAACCTACCCTGTAAGGCCAAAGGAAAGCTTCAATCTGGATCTTGGTGGGATTGCGCATTCCCAGCTGGTCACAAGCTTCACCACAATATACTCGTGTCACACCCTTATAATTCAGAAAAATACACCTTAGCAAAAAGAACGACACACTCCCGCTCTCCTCAGCCTACTGAAAAGACTTTGTAAGCAGCATCTCAATGGTACACGTACCAAGCCTCTTAGGCTTGGTTTCAAGGGTGGATGTTGGCGTGTACAATCGAGCAGGTACATATTATATGTGAACTAGGGGTTCCAGGAGCAGCAGCAAGCCGCATAGACAACTTAGACGCCGGAAGTATTATGA